AAGTACCATGCTAAGTGAAATGAGTCAGAAAGAGAGGGACAGACATAAAAATATTGCATTCATTTGTGGAACATAAAGTAACAAAATAGGAGACTAACACCCAAGAATATTCGAGATAAGTACCAGGAGGATTACTTCATGGTTTTGAGGCCAGCCGCACACACTATGGGAAAAGGCAGCTCAGATAGAAGAGGGAGCACCAAATAAAGGGTGTTGGGATGTTCTTAACAGGATGGGAGATGCGTGATGAGAGTAGACTATAGACCGAACATGATCGCCACTCAATGTCTCTTTTGCAAACCACAGCAGTCAAAAGGAGAGAGATAACAAAAGGGAATGCCCTGTCACAGGGGTAGGGTGGGATGGGGTGGATGAGAGGTGGGAGGGATACTGGTATAAGTGTTAGTGCAGAACGGGCACTGGTGGAGGGATGGGTATTTGATCATTGTATAACTGAAACCCAAGCACAAAAATTTGTAATTCTACAACTGTATCTCATGCTGTTTCACTGATAAAAATTTTTTAAAAAATAAGTAAAATTTTTCTTGCAAATAAAAAAAAGTCAACTAAAAAGTCAACTACAATCCATTCCTTCAATCAAACATGACCAGTTTAAGATTTATTCTTTCAATTTTTTAAATTTTATTTTACTTTTTTTCTTGGTGCAATTATGATTCTTTTTTTTATTAGTGAAACAACATTATTAGTGAAATAAAATGATCGAATACTCATCCCTTCTCTATCTGAGCTGCCTTTACCCATAGAGTGTGCGGTTGGCCTCCAAGCAATGGAGTAAACCTCCTGGTGTTTATCTTGGCTATTATTGGGTGTTAATCTGCTATTTTGTTACTTTATGTTCCCCAGATAAATGCAATCTTTCTATGTCTGTCCCTCTCTTTCTGACTCATTTTGCTTAGCATGATACATTCCATGCAGTACCACTTGTATGTAAATTTTATGACTTCATTCTTGCTGACAGCTACATTGTGTAGCTGTACCAAAGTTTCTTTAACCAGTTATCTGTTCTCAGGCACTCAGATTTTTCATATACTAGCTATTGTAAAGAGTGCTGCAATGAACAAACAAATTTAGATGTCACTTCAACTATACATTTTTGCCTCTCCGGGGTATATTCCCAGGAGTGGTATTGCTGGGTCAAATGGGAACTCAATTTCTAGTTTTTTGAGAATCGTCCATACTGTTTTCCAAAAGGGCTGAACCAGTCGGCATTCCCATCAGCAGTGAAGGAGAGTCCCCTTCTCGCCACATCTGTGCCAGCACCGTTGCTTTTGTTCTTTTGGATGTGGACCAGTCTCTGTGGTGTGAAATGATATCTCACTGTTGTTTTGATCTGCATCTCCCTGATGATTAATGATGTAGAGCATTTTCTCATGTGCCTTTTAGCCATTCGGATTTCTTCTTTGAGGAAGTTTCTTTTCATTTCATCGCCCCATTTTCTGTTGGGGTTGGATGTTTTCTTCCTGTGGAGTTCAGCCAGTACTTTGTATATCCTTGATATCAACCCCTTTTTGGACGTGTATTCGGTGAATATCCTTTCCCATTCTGTAGACTGTCTCTGTATTTTGGTCACTGTTTCTTTTGAGGTGTAGAAGCTTCTTAGTTTAAGATAGTCCCATTTGTCTATCTCTGTTTTCACTTGCTTGGCCAGTGGCGTGACATCTTTGAAGATACCATTAGCTTCAACGTCATGGAGGGTTTTGCCTACTTTGTCTTTAATGTACCTTATGGATTCCGGTCTGATGTTGAGGTCTTTAATCCATTTTGATCTTATTTTTGTACATGGTGTTAGGCAGAGATCTGAGCTCAGTTTTTTGCATGTAGCTGTCCAGTTTTGCCAGTACCATTTGATAAAAAGGCTTTCCTTACTCCACTTCACATTTATTGCTCCTTTATCAAAGATTAGATGATCATATGTTTGGGGTGAGATGTCAGCATATTCAACTCTGTTCCATTGATCTGCAGCTCTGCTTTTTTTCCAGTACCATGCTGTTTTAATTATTACTGCTTTGTAGTAGAGTTTTAAGTTAGGGAGTTTGATTCCTCCCATTTTCTTTTTCCCAAGAATTACTTTAGCTTTTCGTGGGGGCTTATTGTTCCATATAAATTTCAGGATAGTTTGCTCCATTTCTTTGAAATAAAGGATTATATAATACATCAACATTTACAGCTTCATTTTATAATTAATAGTTTTGTAGATTATTCTATATTGTCTATTTCATAATATATAGTCTGCAATCATTCTTTTGTAATAATGCATCTTAATTTATGAATTTGTTAACCAAGTTCCAATTGTTAGGGGTCCAATTTCCTGCCAATATATATCTTATGTATATCTCAGCAATGGTATGCTGAATTTCTCTGGGTATAAAAAAAAATTCCTGGGCCGAAAATAAAAAGGGGCTGAGGGGCTTTGCACGTGGTCATCCCTTACTCAACCCTGACACCATGTGGCTTCCTAAGCATTGTAAAGCTGCATATTCTTTGATTATTGCATTAAATTGCTAGGCCCATTTAAAAGAAAGCCTTGGTTTGTAATATTTACCACATTCCATGGTATAAGTACTTCCACCTCAGACACTTTCAAGTTTCAAGTATATAGAAACTAGCTTGCAATTTTCCTTAAAAATAATAATAGGCTGTACACTTACAAGTGCTGTTGCTAATACATTTCTGCATTGTTTTGATGTATAAGTTTTCAGTTCAACCTTTAAATTTTATTTACTTAAAATGGTCTTCAGCTTGAGGTTATATCCAGTGGCACTCAGGGATTACTCCTGATTCTGAGCTCAAGGGTTACACCTGATGGTGCTCAGGGGACCATATATGGTGCAGGATCTGACCAGGGTCAGCTGCATGCAAAGACTTAAGTGCCTTTATGCCAGTTATAGCTCTGCAACCCCAGACCAATCTTCTAATATCTTTATTTTTTTTATTTTTCACAAGGATTTAACAGCTGCTTTGTCTGACTCCATAAACCACTGTGTTTATGGAGTTAAAACCGCTTGTGTTTCGCATGGTACTGGAACAAAAGCAGAGCTGCAGACCAATGGAATAGAGTTGAATATACTGACATTTCCTCCCAAACATATAATCATCTAATCTTCGATAAGGGGGCAAGAAAAGTGAAATGGAGCAGGGAAAGCCTCTTTAATAAACTGTGCTGGCAAAACTGGACGGCTACATGCAAAAAAGTGGGCTCAGATCTCTGCCTAACGCCATGCACAAAAGTAAGATCGAAATGGATTTATGACCTCAACATCAGACAGAATCCATAATGTTTATTGAAGACAAAGTTGGCAAAACTCTCCACGATATTGAAGTTAGTGGTATCTTCAAAGACGTCACGCCACTGGCCGAGCAAGTGAAAACAGAGATAGACAAATGGGACTATCTTAAACTAAGAAGCTTCTGCACCTCAAAAGAAACAGTGACCAAAATACAAAGACAGCCTACAGAATGGGAAAGAATATTCACCAAATACACATCAGACAAGGGGTTGATTTCAAGGATATACAAGGTACTGGTTAAACTACACAAGAAGAAATCACCCAACCCCATCAAAAAATGGGGCGAGGAAATGAACAGAAACTTTCGCAAAGAAGAAATCCGAATGGCAAAAAGGCACATGAGAAAATGCTCTACATCACTAATCATCAGAGAGATGCAGATCAAAACAACAATGAGATATCATTTCACACCACAGAGACTGGCCCACATCCACAAGAACAAAAGCAACAGGTGCTGGCGCGGATGTGGCGAGAAAGGGACCCTCCTTCACTGCTGGTGGGAATGCAGGCTGGTCCAACCCTTTTGGAAAACAGTATGGACGATTCTCAAAAAATTAGAATTCGATCTCCCATTTGACCCAGCTATAGCACTCCTGGGAATATATCCCAGAGAGGCAAAAAGGTATAGTCGAAGTGACATCTGCAATTGTTTGTTCATTGCAGCACTCTTTACAATAGCCAAAATCTGGAAAAAACCTGAGTGCCCGAGAACAGATGACTGGTTAAAGAAGCTTTGGTACATTTACACAATGGAGTACTATGTAGCTGTTAGAAAAGATGAAGTTATGAAATTTACATACAAGTGGTACTACATGGAAAGTATCATGTTAAGCGAAATGAGTCAGAAAGAGCGGGATAGACACAGAAAGATTGCATTCATCTGGGGAACATAAAGCAACAAAACGGGAGACTAACACCCAGGAAGGGCTCAGATTAGTACCAGGAATTTTGCTCCATGACTTGAAGGCCAGCCACATGTGCTAGGTGAGAAGGAAGCTCAGATAGAGAAGAGAGCACCAAATAAAGAGTGTTGTGAAGACCCTCCCAGGGTGGGAGAGACATGCTAAAAGTGGTCTATAGACCAAACATGACTGCCACTCAATGCCTCTCTGGCAAAACACAGTACCCAAAAGAAGAGAGAGAGAACAGGGAGGAATGCCCTGCCACAGCGGCAGGGTGGGACAGGGGGAGGGGAGGATGGGGGGTCGGAGGGATGCTAGGACCTGTGGTGGGGGAGGATGGGCACTGGTGGAGGGATGGGTACTTGATCATTGTATAACTGAAACCCAAGCACAAAAATTTGTGAGTCTATAAGTGTACTTCATGGTGTTTCACTAATAAAAAAAAAAGATAAAAAAAAAACCGCTTGTGTTTCCCTCTATTTATGAGTTTGGGTTGCCTCCGCATCAGCAGAAGAAGGAGCAGTCTTTGGCTGTTTAAAAAAAAATCCTATCACCTCTGTTTGCAATGCTGTATGCTCATGCACCAAGTGGGTCCAAGTGCTTTTTAATTATCATTTAATTTTTTTTTTTTTTGCTTTTTCAGTCATACCTGGCGATGTACAGGGGTTACTCCTGGCTCTGCACTCAGGAATTAGCCCTGGCGGTGCTCAGGGGATCATATGGGATGCTAGGAATTGCAGCAGCCCAGGTCAGCCGCGTGCAAGGCAAACACCCTACCCACTGTGCCGAGATGGCGATGCAAGCGGCGAAGAGGGCGAATATTCGCCCTCCTCCTGAAGTAAATCGGATCTTGTATATAAGAAATTTGCCGTACAAAATCACAGCTGAAGAAATGTATGACATATTTGGGAAATATGGACCTATTCATCAGATCAGAGTAGGAAACACACCAGAAACTAGAGGAACAGCTTACGTGGTCTATGAAGACATCTTGGATGCCAAGAATGCCTGTGATCACCTGTCGGGATTCAATGTTTGTAACATACCTGGTAGTGTTATACTACAATGCCAACAGAGCATTTCAGTAGATGGATACAAAGAAGAAGAAGGAACAGTTGAAACTTCTCAAGGAGAAATATGGCATCAATACAGATCCACCGAAGCAAACGCACTCTGTATCATTTAGGACTACCACCACCACCACCACCCCTTCTGTGTTCTTAATACTGAATATTGTGATGGATTTTGTCCTGGGACCATACTGGTGGAATTTAGGGCCACTCTTCACAGTGTTAGGGAAGCTCATGCAATGCCGGGGACCAGTCCAGTCCTTTGAGCTATCTCCCTAGAAGATTATTTTTGATTACTTACTTGGAATCAAAATGACTTGTAATAGATAACATGGGTTGACAACAGGTAAGATGCTTGCTTTGCAGTCTTCCTGGGTTTGATACCCGAGCACTGCATATAATTCTCCAAGTCCCACTAGGAGTAAGCCCTGAGCACTGCCAGGTGTGACCCAAAAACAAAAATTTTTGATAAATATGTACAATGTTATGTTAATAAACTTGATTTTTTAAAATGAAAAAAAAAAGCTCCAGCCCCATATCATTTAATTTTTAAGAATTTTTTAAATTGAATCACTGTGGGCTGGAGCGATATAGTACAGTGGGTAGGGTGTTTGTTTACCTTGCACCCTGTCGACCTGGGTTCGATTCCTCCGTCTCTCTCATAGAGTCCGGCAAGCTACCCATATCCTGCTCACAGGGCAGAACCTGGCAAGCATCCTGTGGCATATTCGATATGCCAAACACAGTAACTAGTCTCACAATGGAGACGTTATTGGACCCGCTCGAGAAAATCAATGAACAACGGGAGGACCGTGCTACTGTGCTTTATGAAGAAAAAAGAATGGTAAATATTACAAAATATGAGCTTATTTTGCTGTTAACTGTTCATTACAACTTGTGGCGATTATTCGATATGCCAAACACAGTAACAACAAAGTCTCACAATGGTGATGTTACTGGGCCCGCTCGAGAAAATCGATGAACAACGGGAGGACAGTGACAGTGATATTTATTTTTTATTTTTGATCTGGCTGAGGTTGTTTTGTTTGTTTGTTTGTTTGAGCACATCAGGCAGTATTCAAGAGTTACTCCTAGCTGGGGTGTTCAAGAGTTTTTTCTGGAAGTGCTTATGAGACCATTCCCATGAAATCTGTACTTCCCACATAAAAAAACATGTATTTGAGCCATTTAAGCGATTTTCTTGGCACTAAATTGTCATATCATCTTAACTACAAATAGGTAGCCCTTTTATATTTTGTCTCTATCTCATTTGTATAAAAGATCAATGGGACAACCATTGAGATACATATATATGTTTATATACTTTAATATTACATATTAGCAAGGGCCAGGAAAATTAACATTATAAATGGAACTAAAATATAATTTTTTAGTCTTGTATGAGCTTACCTATAAAATGAAAGTTGGAATCAGACTTATTTTTAATACATTAGAGTCAAAGCTCTTGAAAATCATTTGGAAGATATAAAGGCTTTCTCTTGAAACATGTAGGCTTATAAACAATATTTTTCTGCAGCTTAGTTTTGTTGCAACCAAATCCTTTGAAACTTGTCTTTGGAAAAGCAAGGATTTCTTTTTGCACACATTGAAGAAAAACTTTTAATTTATTACAGACTTTTAAAATAAGTTCTATTTGTTTGCTTCAAGATAATTGTCCAAAAAGTCTGATGTTTATAGGCTCTGATGTTTTTATAAAAATGATTTAGTAAATAATTATTGTGTCTCAACTATGTATCAGGACCTATATTAGACCTTTGGCATGTAACAGGAACTAGGAGAGATAATTACCACAGTGAGCCATGTTGTCATATATAACTTCTTTCTTCAGCCATCAAAAAGTAACAATGTATTGACGAATGTTTCAAATGTTCCACCTAACAATGTTCCCACATTTCTCTTCTAGTCAAAGGCACTCTATTTTTCTTTTTAACAATCCAAAGACATCAATTTCCTTGGAACTTCAGGAAGAAATGTAAAATGGGAGTGTTTTTAATGGCATCATAATTTATATTCAACATATATATTGAAGACCTACTGTATTTCATTTGCTGTAAATGTAGCAGGAAGCAATACAGACTTGATCCCCACCTCTCTAGTAACCTGTAAAGGAAGAACACCAGAAATTATCAGCATTTGGAGACTGTAATTCCATCCACTTTATGCTGAAGGAAACTGGTCTTCTGCCAATTCTTATAAGACTGCCTTCAAAACTTTGAGTACAATATCTGCTTTTTTGCAGTGAATGATGTAGACAGAGGCACAGGCCACAGATGAAGGCACAAACCACTTCACCTGTTTATCTAGCCTGGATTTATTGAAGATTCTTCAATTTGTGTCACATCTCTACTTGGTAGATTAATATAAAAACAAAACAATTTGACCGGGAACTTCGTAAGTGCAGTAAGTGCACAGGGCTTATTCCTGGTCCTATGCTCAAGGATGATTCCTGGCAAGAATCACACGATACCATATGGGATGCCTGGGATCAAACTTGGGTCTACTGCATGCAAGCATTTTACCGTCTATACTATGTCTCTGGCCCATAATTTTCTTGAATTTAAGTATTATAAATCATACGTTATTTTACCCTAATTTAAGTTATACAATTATTTGTTAAGCTTTTAATAGAAAATATAGAAAATACAGTACTATCTATGTTTGAATAGCTGTCTAGGACCTCTTGCTCTTGTCTATTTGGCTTCACTGTTACCACTCTAGAATTCGTTCGGTCTCATTAACCCTTCCATCAATGAAATAGGGCATGCACGTGTCAGCCTGAAAGACTTTATGTTTAGTTGCCTTATAAATATTAAAACAATTGTTCTACAGTTTTCCCCCAATGGAATCCTCTTCATCTTTCAAGTTTCAGCCTTCTTTCCCATGTGCTTAAGGTGCCTTGTACGTGCTAGGCATGAGTGCTATACACGAGCTATCTTCCTGGCTGTGTCCAGAATCCTTGACCTAAAAACCATTACTTTATTATGATGTGATATTTCTATCTGATAGTGAAAGAATTTCTTTTTAATCTCACAAATCAACGATGTCATATTTTTCTAGGTAGAAAGTTCTTACCCAGTGCTTATTTTTTTACCCTGAAAATTTAATTCTCATGAATTATTCCAAGCACATGGAAATCAACCATCAAATGAGAAAAGCAGGAATAACAGAATACAAATATGCAAGCAGGTGTCTCTCTTCATATGGGGAATATTTAATTTCCAATTACTGATCTGAAAGTAGACAGCCAAAATATCTCAGAACTTGTTTCTACGAGATATGATGTTTCCCTGTTGCTTTGCTAGACAACATTATATTTCTTCATTTCGTTTTTCAGTTCAGAGAGATTTTCTTTATCTTGAGACAAAATTCTTGGTATTTCTGCATCAAGAAAAAAAGAAAAGAAAAGAACCAAAGAAACAACAAAAATGTTTCCTGTCTCTGAAACATTTTTTTGTTTCTGTTTTTGATTGTGCTCTTTTTTTTTTTTTTGGCTTGAGTTGAGGTACTGGGAATTTCAATCATTGGAAAATAGGAGGGAAACACTGTTGTCATGTTTTAAAAGATGGAAATATGCAGAAATTCCCTTAGGCTAGATTAGAAAGCTTCAAATGAACAGGAGTTTGATGTTTACAGGACTGTAACATTTTGTATTATCTTTGAAATTAGACCTGGTTGCTTCCTATGTTATTCAAAGAATTCATATTAATATAAATCATAATCTCTTATTCTAATAATTTGCTACACATTTTAAATTTGTTAGAAGATGCAAAATGACACACAAAATTAAAGTCCTATGGAAATAGAGCTGTTGTGTTGAATTTACCACAGGTGATTGCCTTTAGGCAGCAACTTTGATATTTGGAGTCTGGGTAAATTAGGAACTCTCTGAATTGTCCCTTTCTTATATCAGCAGAAAGTGGGGACTCTGAAGGGCTTCAAGGAATATTAGCATGCCATTCTTGAGTATGTATTGCCATTTTCCACTTTAATAAGATATTGTTATTTCACAGGGGATTGAATTATTATGTGCCTTGCAAAGAAATTGGTGTGGACTTACAAATTAATTTTGTTTTGTCTGATCAATATCTGCTCACCTCAAAACTGAGGATGTCCAAGCATTCTTGTATCAATTAATCTTTACTCCACCCCATGAAGATAATCCATAAGGAGAAGCAGCTCTAACTATGATATAGTAATGGACAAATAGAAACGTGTGATTAAGGCAGCACTGAACTTTCAAAAATAGACTTATCTCTGAACTTCAGGCTGTCAGAGAAGCAGAATCAGCTAGCTGTATCTTGGGACTTGCAGCTGCCAGGCATGTTTTCTGAGTGGTCACAGAGATCATTAATCACTTCTTTGTGTTCACTAAGCTGGTGGAAGGTTGATGTGCAGAAGCCTAAAGGAGTGGGCAAACCTGGCAAATCTCATCATTTTATTGGCTCGCCTAAACCCCTTCAAAGCCCAACTTTCTTTGAAAGGCAGATGAGGTATTTCCCGGTGCAACCTTAGCCTCTCTTTCATATCATTCCCAGCTATTCCCCTTGCCCTAGCCTCACATTTCAGTTATGCTTTTATACCTTTATAAATTCTGCTGCTTCAGTTGCAATTCCTTTCCTTTCTTTGTCAATCTGGAGAATCCTGAAACTCAGATTCTGCTAAGATTTCTTTTACTACAAGCTGTTGATCTGTGTTCTATTTGTGACTCACAATTTGGTAACTCTTTGCTTACTGCTGTGCCAATGTTTACTATTGTCATTATTGTTTATTGCTCTAATTACTGTTTACTACTGTAACTATTGTTTGTTATTGTAATTATTCTACAAAGGCAGAGACTGACTCATTCAATGTCATTTTTGTTTGTCAGGGATCACTCCTGGTGCCAGAGATCAAACCTTCATGGAAGACAAGTGTATTAAACCCTGTACTATATCTTTGGCACCTCATCGTGGTCTTTTGTCAGCACACAGCCCAATTCTTGACACAAGATTAAGTTTGAAAAATATTTAGTGTTTAGATCTAGCCAATTGCATAGATCAGTGTTTCTCAATTTTTTTCTACTTCCTTCCAACCTTGTTTCCTTCCCAGGCATCTC